TAAGATACGGCGACTACGGACTACGGCTACGGATAAATATGCTACTGCGCATGATCAAAACCACGTGACTGTTCATTTTTCCCGCGTAGTCCTGCGGCTACGGTGAGTTGTTGAGCTGTTTCGCGTAGTCGGGACTACGGAGAACATTTTGCTCGTATTTTGCCGTCTCGGTAATTCAAGAATCTCGTCTTTTCGCAAAAAAGTTTTCAATTCACCTGCTTTAAGTGAGAGGGAAGCGAAATATGTAAGTTGTCTAATTTCTGCTCAGATTTACGCTTTTAATCCACTGTTGTGACTACATTTTTATCTTGCCAAGCTCATGTTTTAATAAGCTTAGCTGTTTATACTGTTTATAAGCAGAATTTAAATTGACGGCCTAGGAGAAGAGAAATCATGCAGGTAATTTACTTTCTCTTCGCACTTGAAAAGTTTCAATGTTTGTTCGAACTGATTAGTGAGTCTTTGAACTTGTGTAACCTTTATTTATGAGAGTTTTTGTATCGCGCCATTTGCTGAATGAAAATGATGTAAACATGCTTGAGACAATCGAAACTTGGCATTTCAGTACTTCAAACTACATCAGATCAGTAGTCGGAGAAGTCCATCTTCTATATCTAATAAATGAGCTATTACTATTTCTGTCTATATCTTTAATATTTGACATAAGTATTCATGGGCGAAAAAATAAAACCTGTGTAACCAAAACTTTGTTTACCGATTTCACCCGACGTAATTGCTTCCTTCAAGTATGGAAGAATTTGTTCATTGTTCTAAAGATAAGATCACATGCAAAACTGACTTGCATTTTCGTGAACTGTGATGAAAACAAGAAAATCTTTGCGTGTTGTTTCCCTCTCCGCCTCTTCTGTCGTAGTCTACTGTCTGTAGTGCAATCTTAACGTTCTATATTTCCACGACTCAACCCAGTGCTACGAACAAAGGACAACGCTCGTCCAGCCGTAGTTCGTAGTCCGTAGTCTCCGTATCTTAAACTCCCTATTATCTCATTGGCTGTGTTCCACAGACTCCAATTAGCTTTAATAGTTACATGTACTTAATAACTCTTATAATTATACTTGTTGGTTTCACAGGTAGACATCCTTGTGCCCTTACAACAATGATAGTACAGNATCCTTGCAACACGAAGGGACCAAGAAACGGTCAAATGGGAAAAAAAGGAATTTTATTCCTAAGCAAAATAAGCATGATTTGCTCGTTGGCACTCTATCGATAGGTATACCTAGTATTAAAAATTATATATAACATATACATATTGAAATATGTTAAAATATGAAGCATGAATATAAGTGGGATAAAACTACAGCCCGGACTGTTTCGACATCGCATATATAAAAGTATTACTTGTTCTGTTCGTGCAAAGCTTTGCCATATTAAAAAGGCGCTGTCGTCTTCGGTTATAGCGTGAGTTGTCATAGTCTGGTGGAAGGAGCACCTTCAATTTATGGTTTGGATCACTAGCGAGGGTTTTGCCTTTTAAGAATCAGGCCCAAGCAACTTGCAAATGCAATCAAATTTTTCCTTCGAAACACTGAAGTCGTTCTTCCTGTAAGGATGACATGGCCTGGTTATTGTACAGCCGCTTGTGATCTGGGTAGCCTGCTAGCAAGCTCTCCATGTATAGCGAGACGCGACACACGCGCGTCTCCTTTCGCGTGCTTCTCTTGCGTGACTTCTCGTGACTCCCACAAATGGAGAGCTTGTCCACGTAAGATTTTAGAAATTTTGGTTGGTACATCAAATGGAACGGACCATTTCGGTTTGGTCCTACCGGAATATTCGGGACCAGATTTGAAGGTGGTCCATTTTGACCGGTCTGGTCATTTCGGTCGGTCAGACCGAAATGTCCCTTTCCATTTGACAAAATTGTTGTTCCCAGTACCTCTCTTTTGTATCCTTCTTACAAGAACAATAACGAGCTCAAGAAACAACCAAAAACGAGAAGTCCAAAGACCCGGGTCCAAAGACTACTGAAAAGCTGATCAGAACAACGTGTACTGTTTTCTCATAACAATATTTCAGCTGGCCATACCAGCCTTCTTTACGTTTACAGATATTAGTATAGGTAATAGCATGATTAGTAGTGATATTTGGCATAAATACCACGAGTGATGTTTCAAAATTGTTAAACGTAATTTCACGAACCGTCAGGCGAGTGAAATTTGAGACAATTTTAAAATATCACGAGTGGTATTTATGCTAAATATCACGTACAAATCATGCTATTATTTGTTTATACTACTACCTGCAAAAGGTTGTAATTTTCACATGTAGGTATTTCAAATTAAGCTGAAATACCACTGCTCTAAGCCAATCAAATTGTAGAAATGTCCCATGTAGTAGTATGACTGAATATATTATAGGAATCACAGTATTATATAGGGCCCGTGGAGATGGAAAATTGTTTAAAGGCCACGCCGCCTCCCACGGATAGATCTGCTCCGCGTTGCCTTAACACGCGTCTTGGCTTTCTTCACGCCGATTTTTTGCTCATTGGTTTTAAGAGGTTTCTGCCTTATTGACGGACATTGCATATCAAACTCTCTAGCAAGCATTTCGGCAGTTTCCACATTGTGCCATTCAAGCTTGCGTCGGCCTTGCTTGATTTCAAGCCCAACTTGGTTGTAATGACGTTCCAGAACTTGCAAACATTTATTTAAATTGTTGCCAATACATGGTTTTTTATCTAGACCCCGAACTTCGAGTCCCTGTAGATCATGCTTAAGAAAGGCCAAATTAGTGCTCAGTGACACGGAAACATTGGAGCATATGTTTAACTTATTTCCCGCCGCTTTATGTAACAAGCAATAACTTGCTAGAATTTTTGGCGTTAGGATATCATCATTTCCAGGATGTCCATGGAAAGCTGTTTGAGGCTCGGACAAAAAAGTCACTACATGTTCTGGTCCAATGGTATGGCCTTTAGGAAACCGTTTGTTATATTTTGAGAGGTCATCACAGATCTCGAGATTCCAGTCGTAGCGGTCTCGCTCAAAGTACCACGCATAACTGAGTATAACGCTGACTGGAGAGATGAAGCCCTTGTAAAACTTCCTGAAGGCCTTTTCAAAGTTTCTGGTCTTAAATCTCTTCAGAATGTACTCTCTGCAATTAGTAAAGGTGTCCCGGTAGATATATACCAGAAAATAGGTCATAGAATCAACGACAAATGGCAGCCCCAAGGCCAATTCTGTAGTCCTTGCCCAGGTATGTACCCAAGACCTGAATTTGAATGTGCAGCCTGTTCCCAATACTCGTAGCTTTGTGCCATGGAAAATCGACGACTTAGTTACTGGGGTGAAAAATGCGGCGTCCGTGTCCATCCACGCAATAACGGAGTCATTCGAATACAAGTCAATAAAAAAACTGCTCCAAAGCTGCCGGTTGTAGCCTGGCGACTTAGGCGAACCTGGAAAATTCAACGTACTTCTGTATTTTGGAAGAGCTTCATAAAGAACCTCAAGGTTACGGTCAGGAAAGTATTTTTTTGTCTCACTTATTATCTTATCGCCAAATTCATGATCCTCCCTCGCTTCATCATCAAGCACCACGACTATCTTTCCATATGAAGAAGGCCAGTAGAGAACGGTTGTCCTGAATAGATCGCAAAGATAACGATGTCTATGATCTGGTAATTTGCCAGCCATTCTAACAAATAGTGTTATTGGGATGTCTGTGGTGGCTTTGGTTGTCGCCAACTCTGCAGTGCTTTGGCTACTTATGGTCTCAGTAGAGGAAGTACTGACATTTCTCACCAACTTATTTTGAGGTCGCTTATGTGAGGTCGCTTTGGTTTTAGCGAGCTTTGCTTGGAGGATGAATTTTCCCATTTTTCTCATAAACACATTTTTTGGGAAATCTTCGGTCGCTTTGGCCCACTTGAGTTCTGCTTCGCTGATGGTCGTCGTAGGAGAAGTGCCAAACACTTCCATAAACACATCTTCTGAGATATCTGTGGTTTGTTCAGTTTCTATAATTCCTAAGGAGTTCGCACTGCTACTAACATGAGATTTTTCTCGGACGAATAGTTGGAAAGTACTCTTATTGGGAACCATGTATGATACGAAGATCACCAAGACAAAAAGGGGTAAAATTGAACGGCGGATAAGGCGAATTCTACAAATATAGAACCTCCTTAGTACCATTGTTGGGTTAGCTATATCGCGGGCTCAGTTCTCTTTATGGACTCGCTGCAAGAGAGAATAGACAAGTCAATGGCTAGTAAAGTATTAATAGCTTGGAAAGTCAAACAGAAAAAATGCAACTTTTCATGCATCAAGAAGAAAAATTTCAGCATGGTAATTTATATTTGAAACTAGTTTAACGTACGATCTAGAAAGATCGAAGGGCCTCTGCTCGCAGGCGAGTAACCGAACAAACGGTCACGGAGGAGGCTCATGAATTTGGCGTTCGACACTTGCATTGCTTGTTCACATGACGTTACCAAAATTCAAACTAAAGAGTCAGCGATCTTCCTGAGTTTTTACTTTCATGAAGTGTTAAAGCAGCTAAAAACTTAAATTTTTACAAATTTTTTCTTCGAAAGGTTTTTTCGTTTTGTGATGGAGTAGTCTTGCATTCCTTACCTTTTGCGTGACGCGTCATTAGTGACCTTAAGATACACCCTCTCAACCTACGGGTAGGGGGAGGGGGGAAGGTGAACATGTTTACCTCGTAGTTTTATAAAAGCCAACCATTATTTCCCAGATGTAATAATGACGTAACCATTCTACCCGGTAGCCTACCCGTTTCTCCCGGGTAGAGGGGAATCTACCCTTATTTACGGCTACGTGTGCGGCTGATTTACCTGTACCCGTACACGGAAACAGTGTATCTTAACGCCTCTATTTACTCTGAGCATTTACGTGGCGGCCGACAGAGCTATTAATTGTCAACGAACAGCCTCGCGAAGTTGCAAGGCTACGAGGCGGCAGCCTAATGGAGCCGTGCGCGATTGTGTCTGGGGCAGAATAAATCTCGAATCGATGTAACATAGAGTAATGTAACGCAACACTTATGACGTAGTGCAGAACAGAGAATGCATCTACGAGCTGTGTGCGTGCCTGTGAGTCCCGTGTTCATCCCGCCCTATTTGCATTTGCATTTGCAGTATATGCGAATGGCTGCGCATTTACCCGCTTGAATTTTTCATTGCATGCCGCTAAGAAAAATAATAACGCCGCGAAATTTTTTGTCTTTGAATCTTTAGAAAGAGACCAAATATGAGTCCGTACGTCGAATATTCGCCGACTTTAATATGATTTTTCGAGGATTTTAAGTTTGCTTATAAGACCACTAAATTTTACGCGAAATAACTTGTGCGCAACTTCGGACAAAAACACGAACTTCAATATCCCGAAAAATTTGCTTAGTAAGGTCTAGATTTCCATTTGATATTTGGACGCTCTAAAATCACGAGTCGAAACAAGCATAAAAAGCGCTGTTGAGCAAAAGAAACAGGAACTCGAATTAAGCTACTGACTATAAACTGTCTTCTATCTTAGCGACCATTGTCGCAAAGGGATCGCTCCAATAATTGAACGGTTGCTTCCAATCAATCCTTTTTTCACCGATCCTACCCCCCGGCGATCGTACCAATCATACCGAAACCAGGCCTTACATGTACATGCACCAGTAACAACATGAACCTCAGTAAACAGAAAATCTTGTGAAGAAAATTTGAGGAGGAACGAAACTTGTTAATTTACGTATTGTTATTCGTGTTTTAATCTTACTAAATGAACGCGACGTTTACTCGATATTGCTGCCTGATTAACTTGTTCGCCGATTCACTTTTAAAAACCGTCAAAAGGGTAAGACTAATCTGTGGAACTGCAGGCGCGGATCCTGCGGAACCTGCGAAACATACGGAACCTAAAGAAATGACTGTTTTATTACAACTGCCTTTGGCTAACGTGATAAAATAATAATTAATTTTTTTTACAATGACTGAGCGATTTCTCGCCCACTGATTGTCGATAACAGTAAAAACGATTGAAAACTGTTTTCGATTTCGGCTTAGTATCACTGTTCTAGAGCTAGAGCTCTGCTTCCGAAATATAAAGTCCTCGAATCGCGGACTTAAAAAAAAAGTAAGGCGAGCAATTACCGTTTGAGAAAGCCTTGGTTATCGAAAGGACTTCTGAAGTCGATAAGAACGAAAAATAAGTTATATAGACAGTATCTCACTAATCAATCTTTGCATTATGAAATTCGTTATAAAAATTACAAAAACAAATTGAATCACTCATTAAGAATCGCTAAACGTATATATTACGAAAAGAAAATCGATGCTTCTAAATCAAATGCCAAAGCTACATGGAGAGTTCTAAACGAAATTATTAAGACAAAAAAGAAAGCGTTTAAAATCAATTCCATCTTTAAAGTTGACAACCAAGAAATTACGGATCCAGTAGACATCGCTAATAGATTCTGTAGTTATTTTTCTAATATCGGACCTAATCTAGCCAAAGAAATTCACTCGTCTGTCTCTCACCGCAGTTTTCTCTCTGGTCACTTTTGTCAATCGGTGTTTTTTGATCCAGTGACTCCAAATGAGCTATTGGAAATTTCCAATGCTTTTCGACCAGGTAAGGCAGCTGGCCATGATAGAATTCCCATTTCCATCATAAAAAAGTCAATTCAAATTATAGCCGTTCCTTTAGCTCATATAATCAATTTATCTATCTCTCATGGCATTGTTCCCGACCATATGAAAATTGCTCGCGTGATACCACTCTTTAAAGCCGGTGATCGATCACTCTTTACGAACTATAGACCGATCTCGATTCTCCCTAGCTTTTCTAAGTTTCTTGAAAAGGTTGTTTATAACCGTCTTTATAATTATTTAAGTAAACTAGAAATTCTATGTGATAATCAATTTGGCTTCAGGAAAAATCATTCAACTTCTTTAGCATTGATTGACCTATATGAAAAAATCTCCCTTGCTCTTGATCGCAATGAACATGCCGTTGGCGTTTTCCTTGATCTTTCTAAGGCCTTTGATACCGTCGATCATAATATTCTGCTTGACAAACTCGAACACTATGGTATACGTGGCGTGGCTCTGGACTGGGTTAGAAGCTACCTCTCCAACAGGTTGCAATTCGTTCAATTTAACGGTCAATGCTCCTCTCCTCAAACTATCTGCTGTGGTGTCCCCCAGGGATCTATTTTGGGCCCCTTGTTTTTCTTGCTCTATATTAATGATTTAAATAATGTATCGTCGCTCGTCGAGCTGATTTTATTCGCTGATGATACTAATTTATTTATGTCCCATAAAGATCCTGTCTACCTGGCAGCCTCACTCAATTCCGAACTTAATAAATTATCCACTTGGTTCAAGGCAAACAAACTCTCCTTAAACCTAAAGAAAACAAACTTTATGTTATTTAAGCCTAGACAGAAAAGGTATCATTTTCCAATGCAAGTATGCATAAACGAACAGAGAATCGAACAGGTTAAGGAAACGGTCTTCCTCGGTGTAGTCCTTGATGAACATCTGTCTTGGAAACCGCACATTTCTCAAGTAGCTCGTAAAATCTCGAAATCAATAGGTGTCATTAATAGAGCAAGATTTTTTCTACCTAAACCGTGTCTAAAAACTCTTTATTATTGTTTAGTTTATCCTTATCTTCATTATTGTATTATTGTCTGGGGATCTACGTACAAAACCAATCTTCGCCGTCTTGTCTCTTTGCAAAAGCGAGTTATCAGAATTATTTCTAAATCAACTTTCGATTCTCATTCAGACCCTATTTTCAAAGAATTAGAGCTACTAAAACTTTCCGATATTAGACAGCTAGAATTAGGTAAACTTATGTTTTCTCTTAACCATTCTCTTTTGCCTTCAAAGTTCAACAATTATTTTTCTTTAAACAAACAAGTCCATAGCTATGCCACTAGACACGCGAACGATTTTCACCTTCCTTCTTGTAGAACAAACCTTCGTAAATTTTCTGTCAGTTTCCAAGGACCTACTTATTATAACACTATAGAAAATGATATTAAAGAATCTAATTCTCTCCACTTATTCAAAACGAAATTGAAAAAAAAATTATATATGAATTATTAGTTATAAATCTTGTAGTAAATAGTTATATTTCTTCCATGTCTGATATAATTTTTATACTTATTGTTACTTGTACCATACCTTATATTTTGTCAACTCAGTCTATGTAATTAGTTAATTTATACTTACCTTCATTGTATTTTGCTTTCGATCCTGGCCTTACCGTTACTGTTAACTTTATTTTTACTCTGAGGGAGCCCAATGTCTATAAGCCTCATGGTTTCTGTTTGGGCTTCCTCGCCACTTTCATTTGCTTTTGTGTAACTGTCTTGTTTTATCGTTATTTGTATTTTGTGGTAAATCAAATAAAGTTAAAGTTAAAAAGTTACTTCCGGCTTGTTAGTAAACTTCGGAAGGAAACGAGCTGGATAGATTTAAACACAGAACGATGAGGGTATTATTGGCGCCCGCCGTCACTTCTAGTGACCACTGTACATCCACCATACACAGAATCTTTTCAATCTCCACATTTTCATTTTCACTATAAACGTATCATTCCATCTCTTATCTAGACACCCTTCATCCCACTATTAAATTTATACCGGTCAATCTGCTCATTCAACTTTTTCGCTTTTCTCTACATTAAGGTGTCTCTCAATGATGTTATCGATCATTGCCTACAGCCGATCGAACATGAGTATCTTTTACGCTCATCATGTCACCCCTTACACACTAAACGAGCTTTTCCATTCAGCCTTGCCCTGAGAATACGATGTATATTTTCCTCCAACGAGACGTACAATCTCGGTCTCCTCAACCAGGAGATGTAACGTTGTCAGACTATCACACACACTCACACAAACGACTCACCCACGCGTATCCCTCTAGTTGACCTAGTCGTCAGATACCACCCAGCCATTTGCTCGATATCATCTATTTTTCACAAGCACGTTTACATTCTCTCATCCTCCCCACTTTGTGCCATTTTGTTTAAATATATACTTCTCCTTACCTTCCTACGTACTAACAAGCCGGACATTCGCT